TAGCCAAGATTGCAGTACATAATCCTACTCTAACTAGGGATGCTTATCCAATCAAAGTTTTTATTCGGTGTCTATCACTAAAGAAGATAAAATATTTTATACACAAATGTCAAGAAAATGTTGAAGAAAGGTGTTATTTAGAAGTCTCGAAGTCCTTGGGTATATGAATCTTATTTTATAATGAAGCATAATGGGAGTATTTTGTTTTAAAGTTCCTTATTATGATATGTTATCTAAAATTCTTTACTCAAAAATATGTGAATGATATATAGTACTTCTTGGGCAATGTACAATATTTTAGTCATTTTGTTAATCAATTTTCTAATTATATTGCATTATTTATAAGCATTTTTAAAGTCATTAACATTATCTTTCATCTAGCTTTGAATTATGAATGGGCATTTGCATATCTCATAAAGTTTTTGATGACTTTTACACGAAGTTTGGCACTATTTTAGTATATCAATAGGCTACTGCAAGGATATGAGTATGCTAATTGGTATTTAGATTAGGCTTAGACCCAGGTTACATGCAAAATAAAGACAAGTATGCAAGCAAAAGCTAAACTATACCTTAGGTTGATCAACCATGCCTAACCTACTTATTATCCTTATTATATATTTAGAACACTTATTAAGCCAAAAGGATTTTCACAATCTACTAATTCTTCTATTGTATAAACTAGCTATTCCATGTGAGGCAATTAATCATCTACTTGTATTGCATCCCATAAATGGATATCTACGTCCATTGATGCTTCACAAGAAGAAAGACATACATAGATGCTCAATATATACAATTTCAAATTTAGGGGTAGGAATATACTTTATTTATGAGTGCTTTGGATAATTTTGTGGCTATAGATATAGTTTGGCAAGCTAGATTTGCAGTGCAGCCACTAGGAGAACCAAGGACTATAGAGTTTATTCACTATAAATGTATGAATAATATGCAATAATTTGGTTATTTATTGATCATATTTTTAATCATACTACACTATTGTGACTATTGCTAAAATCATCTTTTATTTAGTCTAATGACTTTAAATGGGCATTTCTGCATCACAAAGGAGTTATTAATGACTCCTTCAATTTTGATGTATCCTAATTGTGTGGACATTTTTTATATTAGTTTCAAAATTATGTTAGCCCAAGTGTGTTTTGATCTTAAGGGATGATTGTGAAGGACATAAACTTTCAACATTCAAATTAGAATGGTTATTTACCATCTCTTCGATATATATATATATCACAAAGGTATAGAGTTTTATTAGTACCTCACTATAAAAAAGTTTATATGGTCATAATACAATACTATTAATGGAGTTAGGTTTATCTTTGCGATTCCTACAAGCTGCTAATCTTGGGATTTGTATTTGATGAGCATCCATCCACTACTTTGAGTAAAGTTGAGCCATGTATACATGGATAACAACAACACTACAACTCCCATCATCATCCATTTACAAAGTATAAAGTGGATAATCTAGTGTTAATTCATATTCCCAATTTTATAATATGTGCTTTGTCTAAAGGGCTTTTTATTTAGTGGAACAGACCATATTAAATATTGTGGTAAATTGGAGCACAATTTTATGAGGTTTAGTATAACATTTAATAGATTAATCCTCTAGAAATTGTGCATGTCCAATAGCTAAAGTGCTTCATATAAGTTAGACTTTGGAACAAATTTGAAAATTTATTAAATATGAAATGGTCCTAAAATTGTGATCATGGTATTTAAGACGCTCTTTATATTTCATAAATATGCCTCTCCGGCAGATATAAACACTTACCATGAATAGCATATAGGACCAAAACAATACTAACATATAAAGCATGATAGTGAGGGTGTCTTTATAAATACAATAATTTATCATATAGCAATATTAAGGGATTGGACTCAATATACAACATATATAAGTCAAAGATATATAGCAAAAGAGAATTAAAAGTTAAACCAAGTATGCTCAATAGAAAACAACACATATGAATTATTACTTTATATTTATTTAGCTAAGTACATATGCTAAACCCAATTAACTACCATTTGGACAAAAGGGGCTAATAAAGGAACTAACAGTATCCTCATAACGACTAAACCGACAAGTACATTTTTAGAAAAAAATAAAGTTTTCTTGGATTGAGAGGATCAAGATTAGATACTAGTAGTTTACATAAGTATGATTAAAATTATTACATTTGCTACAAGTTTTCAATGGGATCCAGCATAATCTGTGGCATCCTGGATCAACAATACTACAGAATAATCTGGACAAAGAAACTCTTGAAGCTTATCACAAGGTGGCGCAGAATAGTCCAGATTCTGTCCAGAAGCTACAGTGGTGTGATTGCTGCAAGCTTGCGAGAGGATGGAGGCAAAGAATGCCGGGTCATCGCAGCCTACGCTCACCATGGCTATGGCGTCGAGATACTGTGGAGCCGAAGTTCCTGTGCATCACGGGGATTTGAAGATGAGGCTATGGAGCAGTGCTCCACACGTGCTACTCTCAAAGTAAAAAGTGAGGGCAGCAGCATGCGGGTTGTCCGCACCAACAAACTTCTCACACGATCCTCAGACGAGCCACACCAACTATACGGGTAGCTTTCTAAGCCCATCTTCAGTTCTTGCCCTAATTTCTCCATCTCCACCATCTTCAACCTGCGGGCAATAACAAGGTGGTACCATATTTGGAAGTGAGGATGGGAGTGATGTCGAGCCTCCATCCATGGATTTAGTTTGGGAGTCATGGGATTGGGGTAGCGAAGAGCCATGGTTGGAGTCTCCCATAGAAAACGCACCAAGGTCTCAAGTGCAAACACTATCTCCATGGCCAGCTCCACTTTCGACACAGTGTCCAGCACCATCTCTGGCACTTGCTCCAGCACTGCATTTGTCATCAGCCCTGGCACTAGTTGTGGCACTGCGTCGAACATTAGCTCTTACACCAGCTCCGGGACAACCAGTGTTGGAGGTATTTCCCGTCCCACTCTTGCCGAATATGAACAATCGAAATTTAAATAGTAAGAATCCAGAAATGGGAGGTGCAACGAACTTGACGGGATTCTCTCAAAAGTGAGAGCTCACGACGTGGTCTCCTGGGCGGCCTTGATCGTGGCCTACACTCAGCACAGGAGGAACCGAGAAGCTCTCGAGCAGCCGGGCAAGGTGACTCTTAGCAGCGTTCTGACTCATCAACAAGCTTGTGCTGGATCCATCTCTCGCCATGCCGACTTTCCCAAACTTGGCGTACATGGTCACATTGGCTTCCAGGTGAGAGCCTCGAATGCGCCTCTTTCCCACCTCTCGAAAAGCTCCAGCGCTCGGCCCTCGCAACGTCCAGCCTGCGCGTACATGCTCACAAGTGCGTTCTCCGGCCTTCTTCCAGATCCCTCAAGCTGGAGCAAGCGCCAAGGACGCTGGAGAGAGTAGCGCTGTCGGGCTTGATCCCCGCCGAGTCCATGCTCCTAAACATCTCGATCGCCTTGCAGCCATGCCTGTTCTTGGCGAATGCCGCGATGATGAAGTTCCAGGAGAAGAGGCTTCTTCGCGGGAGGGCGTGGAAGACCTGGATGGCGTCGTCGACGCTGCCGCATTTGCCATACATCTGGAGGAGGTGATCGCCGAGGAGGCGACAATGTGGGCGTGGATTCGCCACCCCTGCGGTAGGTCTGCTGCATTAGGAGTGCGGCGTAGGTCTGGTGCACATGGAAGGGCGACTGGAATTGCAAGTGGTGGAGATCGTCGTCGCGGCGTGCCAATCGCTGCAAAGGTTTATAGTGGATATGCTAGGAATATGCTAGTGAAAGTCTTTTATACGTCTTTGATTTGATTTTTTGTATCTTTTGGTACGCTGTAAGAATTCATCGGGATGATCAATCACACAGGAACCAGCCAGCCGCATCCTTCTCCCACTCTCCAATGCATCTAGAATGAAAATCACCAAAGCTTTTGGCTATGGCTCATCTTTTTTATTTACATTCTCTGTGGGCATTCCTTGACTAATTTTGTTTAGTCATATTAATGCAATTGAGGAATCACAACCATTACATTAAGGAATATCGTACTTGGATATTCTAAGTATGTACTTCAAATGCTGAAACTATTGGAACGTACACGGAAGGGCATGTTGAATGTTGAATGTTGAATATTGAATGTTGAAATGTTGAATGTTTTCACGGGCTTTTACGTGTTTTCCATGCTTCCATCGCAAGGATAGTTCAATCCCGAACCTCTCAGACATAAACCTTACATGCATATCGTATGGGGCCCGTCATCTTTGCAGGGTCGGCCCGAAGCTAAAACTTTCAGTATATAAGCTCACTCGTGCAAGTGCGAAGCAATCATCCATGGCGAGCAACATGATAGCTTTGATCTTGATCTTGCTGGTGGTGGTAGGGGCAGCACCGTTTGCGATTGCGCGGCCAGCGGCTCTGGAAGGCGATCGCGCTCTAGAGATCAAGAACATGTTCGAGGATTGGGCTGCCAAGCACGGCAAGAGTTACAGCAGCGACTGGGAGAAGGCTCGCAGGCTGATGATCTTCTCCGACACTTTGGCGTACATTGAGAAGCACAACGCGCTGCCCAACACCACCTTCACGCTCGGCCTCAACAAGTTCTCGGATCTCACAAATGCCGAGTTCCGAGCCAATTAGGTCGGCAAATTCAAGCCCCCGCGCTACCAGGATCGCCGCCCGGCCAAGGACGTGGACGTGGACGTGTCGAGCCTCCCGACGAGCTTGGATTGGAGGCAGGAGGGAGCTGTGACACCGATTAAAGATCAGGGCCAGTGCGGTATGATAAGAACTCGTCGTTTTTTTTTTTTTTCTAATCTCTCTTCTATTTGGCCTTTGTGGGTGTGGGTGATTCGCGTGATCCACAGGGAGCTGCTGGGCTTTCTCGGCAATTGCATCGATCGAGAGTGCACACTTTCTGGCGACGAAGGAGCTCGTTTCTCTGTCCGAGCAGCAATTGATAGACTGTGACACGGTAGACCAAGGATGCCAGGTGGGTTTCCGGAGGATGCGTTTAAGTTCGTGGTGGAAAACGGTGGTGTCACCACGGAGGAGGCCTATCCATATACAGGATTTGCAGGCAGTTGCAATGCGAACAAGGTTGGTATACTTCACTAATTATTTCATATTATATCTGTTTTTTGTTCTTTAAAGAATAAGGTGGTGGAGATCACTGGTTATAAAGACGTCACAAAGGACAGTGCTGACGCCCTGATGAAAGCAGTCTCCAAAACTCCCGTGACCGTTGGCATCTGCGGCAGCGACCAAAACTTCCAGAATTACAGAAGTGTAAGAAAATCTCAAATATTATTTCTATTTATTTCTAACTTAATTGCATCGTTTTCCAGGGAATTCTTTCTGGTCAGTGCGGCAATTCGCGGGATCATGCGGTCTTGGTCATTGGATATGGAACCGAAGGTGGGATGCCCTACTGGATCATCAAAAACTCGTGGGGAACTTCCTGGGGGGAGGATGGATTCATGAAAATCAAGAAAAAGGATGGAGAAGGGATGTGTGGGATGAACGGACAGTCATCATACCCCACTACTTCGTAAAATAACCACTTTATAATCCAAACTTTATATTAATATATCAATTATACACTGCCATCACGATACATTAGCAACTAGCGAAATTTGCTCTTTTGACTATGATTGGTAAATTGTGATGCAGTAGATCCAGAGCTAGGTATAGCCACAGCATCACGATCTAGGGAGAGCTGCAGGCTTGCAGCAGCAAACAGTCATGATTGAGAGTGAGGTACTATGTGATGGAGTGGATACAAGTATTTCAAACCTACAGGCAAAACAAAGTATTTGATTACAAGTATCTTTTTATCACTATATATTACTTACGCATATAAAAACCTAAAAAAATTTAAAGTATGAGAAAGTTTTCTAAATGGAATTTGAAGAAAATATTTTAGGGGGGTGTGATATGTATTTGAGAAGAAAATCACAAATATATTACAAGAGTCTTCAATAAGTAGTTCAAAAGTTTATTTGCAGTATGTTATTTTAGAACTTGTTTTGAAATATTCTGTTTATTAAATAGTTTACTGATGCAGTAATGCTTGGTTTGCTTAACAATAGTGCTTACTGTTTAATAATTTTACTGTAAATTTTAAATACAAGATTAATCTTATTATTTGTCAACCATTAGATTTTAAAATAAATGGAACATACTTGGAAGTAATTAGGAATGTTTATAAATTATAAACATATAAATTCAATATTAATCTAAATGAATAAATTAATTTGAAAATATAATAAAATACACTTGAAAGTTCTGTAGCAAAGTCAGGCTTATGAGATCCAGATATACAGCTAGAATACAATATCTGTATAGTGGGACTTTGATAGCTGTTTGATTCACTTTAATCAGGATCACTCACTCTTATATAAGTTAGGGTTTTTGGGTTAATCATATATATATATATATATATATATATATATATATATATATATATATGTATATATATATATATATATATATATATATATATATATATATATATATATATATATATGTATATATATATATATGTATATATATATATATA